TATCCTGAGTCAAAAATGCATGTAATACACGTGACCTACCAAACATCATAGCTCGGCTTACCTTAAATGTGTTGTGAACAATTGTTAGCCTGCAGTTGGGCAAAGTCATCTAACACAAAGCCCCTTTTTTTAGTAAAGTGTTGAGTAGGGATACAAATAGTCTAGTTCATAGATTTTTATAGTAGTATAGAACTGATTGTAGAAATTGGAAAAGAAGGAATAACTGACATCATGGGTGCCATATTCTGAGGCAGGGAACACGTGAGCAACAGCTTTAGGAGGAAAGTTAAGTTCAATTTTGGTTTTCTTTAGTTTGAAAGCAGATGGGAGATACCAGAAAATGGCGTGTGATTGAGTTAACCGGGGTGAGGAAAGAATTTATTTAGTAAGTGGTGGAGCTGATGCAATGGCCTGTGAGTTGACGGGGTGTAAACCTGAGCACTTAGCTGAAAGGAGAGACAGGAGAACAGGAGACAGAATAGTTGTGGACACAGAAGGTGTGTGGCATGTGGAGTGGCGGGATGTAGAGGGATTTCCTGTGAGATGACTTTACTACTTGAAGTAGGATGCTTGGTCATTTTCAGAGAAATGATGGAGGAAGGGTTGGAGAGATTTGGGTAACCTGAAGAATGCTTGAAATAGCTGCCCTGAAGAATGGAAGTGTGGAAAGAGTAAGCAAGTAAGATTTTCTTAGAATGCTAGGTAGTAGTGAGGGCCCAGTTGAGATAAGAGGTAGTACATTTGTAGCATCATCAAAATATGAGGTTTGGTAATTTTTCTGCAGCCCAGTTGTAGGAAATGAAGACTGGTGGATTCATTAAGTTCCAGCTTATAGAATAAACAAAATAGTAAAACAATTAGTTGAAAATACTAAACAGCAGTAGTTCAAGTGATTTTTGGCTGCAAGGAGTAGAAGGGAATGAAGATTGGCAGGGATTGATTAGGTTGATGACAACTGCAAGGAAGGACACTGAAGGTCTCTGTGTGCTCAAAGAGTAGGTCAGAGGAGTATATGAGTGAAAGCTAAAAGGTGAGTTTTTTTTTAGCTTTTAGATTTTGTTCTTAGATCAAAAGTAAAATATGCTTTGTTGCACTGGCTGAACGGTACAAACCATACAAAGGAAGCTTTACTTCTGCCCACTGTGGCCAGTTTTAATAGTTTGATGTCTGTCTTTCTATAAAAAGGCTAAGGGTTTTGTTTTTGTCTCACATAAATAAAATCATGCTTAATATTATTCTTCCTGTATCATGTATATACTGTCAAATCTTTACAGAGACTATCACTTGCTTTCAGGAGAAGCATATTTTATAATATGAGCCTACTATAATTTAATGAAGTTGTTTATTGTTAAGCATTTAAAGTTGATCCCTGTTTTGTGAGTAGAAAAAGCACTGCAGAAAATCTTTATACATGGTTCTTTATGTATAATGCTTTTATTTCTGTGAGAGAAATTTTTGAAAGTTTCATGACTTGGTCAATGGCTATGTATGCTTTTAAAACTTTTATTTGAAGCATAACGTACCTTAAGAAGAGTATGTAAGAGTACATCTTGATGAGTTTTCACAAAGTAAACATGCCCATAGACATTTGTCTATGTCAAGAAATAGAATATTGCCATCACCCTCAGAAATACCTCTCAGGCCTCCTACAGTCACTAATCTGTGCCTCCAATGATTTAAAAAAACAAAAACAAAAAACTCCTATGATTAGCTCTGATTAGCTCATTTTAGTTTTGTATATCTTAGACATTTGTAAAAATGGACTTAAACAGTACTCTGTTGCATGAATCGTCTCTGTGAATATTAAAATCACCTTCACAGGCAAGAATATAAGGTACTGATTTACTAGTTATGATTTACTAGTGCTAATGAAGCCAAAGCACACAATTCTGTTTAGGTGGGGACTTGGAGTAGAGACAACTCAGCTAACATAGTGGAATGCTAGGGAATGTCCTAAGTGTCCTTAAGTCAATCCTGATGAGGGGCAGAGAGTGGTAAAGCAGTGCTTCCAAAGGAGAGCTCTCTTTTAATGAAAGTATAATTTACGCACAGCAAAATTCACCACATTTCTCTTTGGATACAATCATGTAATTACCACCATAGTCAAGATGCAGGATAGTGCCATGTCCCCAAATTTCCCTTGTACTTCTTTGTAGTTAACCCTCCCTCCACTGCCTGCCCCTGGTGACCACTGATCTTTTAATTTGTCCCTTTACTTTTGCCTTTGAGTAAGAGTTTTTAAAAGAGTTTAGAGAAGTAATTGGTTGGAAACAGCCTAGATATGAGGTGTGTGAGAAGCAAGCAAGAACCCTTTGGTAAGGCTCTGAAGCAGCGTTCCGAAGGGGAGAGCCAAGTTGCTGTTCAGGAAGGGAGGGGATGTTTAACTTCAAACCAGGTTCCAGAGAGTACAGTGAAGTTTGGCGGAAATGCTAGTGGTAGGAGGCAACCAGCTAATAACTATGTGACCTGTCTTCTGTGTCTTTCTGTTTAACAAGGACCATTCCCTTTCTTGAACACCCCCACCCTTTTATTTATTTATTTATTTATTTATTTATTTATTTATTTACTTACTTACTTACTTATTTATTTTTAAATTTTTTAGTTGACACCTCTCTTATTTTCCTACTACCTACCTCTTTGATCATTTTTTCACAGTGGCTTTTAATTATTCCCACTTGTTTCTCAAGTATTTCTTGACTTCTGTATCCTGGCTTCTTCTCTTCTCTGTGAGTTGGTTCATTGACTCCTTTTGCTCAGCCAGTGCTTCTTAATCTATGGGGACTTGGCCCAGACTTGCTGAACATCTCCTCTTGACAAAATAATTTAAAAATATTTTTTTTTAAAGTTCAAAAAGCAAGCAAAGGATACAAAATAATAAATCAAAATGCCCCCAAAACATATAAAGAACACACTATAATTGTTAAAATTAAAAAGACAACAATATCAGGTATTGACAAAGATTGTAGAACAACTGGAGCTCTCTTACTTATTGTGGGAGTATAATTGAACAACAACCTTGGAAAAGGCTAGTTTCTATTCGAATTGTAGCTATATGTCTATATTTATCTGTACACATCTTCCTCAAATTACAATGGAGTATGCCCCGATAAAACTCCCTGTAAGTTGAAAATATCCTGAGTCAAAAATGCATGTAATACACGTGACCTACCAAACATCATAGCTCGGCTTACCTTAAATGTGTTGTGAACAATTGTTAGCCTGCAGTTGGGCAAAGTCATCTAACACAAAGCCCCTTTTTTTAGTAAAGTGTTGAGTATCTCATGTGATTTATTGATAATTTTCTGAAAGTGAAAAATAGAATGGCTGTGAACCATCATAAGTTGGAGACTGTCTGTAAGTATTTCTTATGATCTTATGATCTTACTCCTGGGTATACACTCAAATGAGTTCTTAATGTGTACCTTGCTATACTCAGCAAGAATTATTTTCTCAATTGTATTTGTAATAGCTAAGAAATAGAAGGAACCCAATGTTCATGAACAGTAAATTGAGTGACTAAATTGTGTTGTAGTGCCACAGTGAAATATCACACAGCACTGAAAAAGAACTGATTCTCACAAAAATGTGAATTAATCTCACAGTATTAAGTGAAAGAAGTCAAACACAGAGTACATACAGCAGGCAAAACTAATAAATGCTTGTAAAAGTTAGAATAATGGTTAGATAGGTGAGGCATAGATATTGACAGGGTAGAAGCCCAAGGGAGCTTTTGGGGTTCTGGAAATGTTTTATATCTTGATCTGGATGGTAGTTACACAGGTTTATACATACATTAAAATTTGCAAGCCAGACACTTAAAATGTGTGTGCTTTTCTGTGTAAGATTTTCAAATCCTACGTAAAACCATCCGTTTTCTTTGACTAGATTTTTGGTCAGTTATTTCTCTCTCAGAATATTCAATCTTACAAGCAATAATAGACATTGGTAACATTAAAATGTATCTGTTTCACCAAAGTTCTGTTCTTGACCATTTCATAGTAATAAAAAAATTATATAATTCTGCCCATGCTTAGAACTGTATTTCACACTTAATCTGTCAATAAGGCCTGGCTCCTTTCAGTTCCCATGTTTCATCCAGTATCCGGCATATTTGTGGCACCTTTATCCTCCCACCCACCATTCTCTGTAATTGTTCATAAAGTTCCTCTCAAAATGTAGAATACAGACTCTTTGATGAGATGAGTTTACATCAGAATGTAAATAAAATATATCACTAAGTACACTGTTTTGTTTTTTGTTTTTTTCAAGCAAGACTGCCTTGATGAGGAAGCAGTGCATTCATTTATAGTCTGGTGCAAATTCCATGTCTCTTTGGAGACCAGCATTTTCAGTGAACTGGTTTACACCATACAAGTTAATGTTTAAATCTGTCAGATGTACTGTGTATTGATGGGGAGAGGGTGAGTGACAGGCATTATGGTGCCAGTGCGTGTGAAAGGACTTTGGGTCTTTATTTTTTATCTTCTAGCATCTGAATGATTGTTCCATATTTGTGGAGTTCCTTTTTAATTTTTGGTGGGAGGTAAAATCTGCTTGTAAGTATAGTCAGTCAGATTTGACCAAGCTACTCACTCAGGAGCCAGTGAGAGAGGAAAGTGGAAACTGTTCTGTTGGGGGCAGCAGCTGCGGTTGCAGTGGTGTCTTACCAGGACCAATTCTGCTCCAGTTTTGGATGTCCTTCCTGGACAATTATAAGATTGTTATCTACTAGCTATCTTTTCATAGATGTATTTTCTGCTTAAATTAGCCAGAGTAGGTTTTTGTTGCTTCCAACTAAGAACTCTAACTGAAAAAAAAATTACTTAAAAAATGTGCTATTCTTTCAAAGTTGATCAAAAGCAAAATTTGTTTTCTCTTAAGTAAATTTATACACACAGTTTTAAAATGTTTTAGACTAGATTTACTTTGTTAGACATTTTGTAGACAGTAAAGATTCTAAGTAATAATTTCATTTTAGTGTTTGCATTTAAATTTTTCAGGCTTTATGGACCATGTGCTGCTACGTATGCCTGAAGTACTTGAAATGCACGTTTGGAGAGACTTTGCCATCTAAATGCTTGGCTGGATTAAGCGCCTAATTAGGATGGTTTTTCAACAGGTTGGAGTAAGCATGCATTCGGTGAGCAATCAATCTCATTTTTAAAATCCAGATGTTTATATGTTTTAAGAATTTTTTTTGAGAAAGTGAAATGTATCTGTATATGATTAACATTTTGAATTCAGTATATTTATGTACTATTTAAATCATAGACTGAATCTTTACCTAGCATGACAAGTAAGGGAGTAACTTTCTGTTATACTGAAAACTTACCAATATTCATGTGACTGTTAAAAGTGCAATGTAATTGTTATAAAATGCTATAAAATTGCTATAAAAGCACAATCTCTACATATAGAGATAGAGATAGATATCATTAAATGACTAACATTCACAACTCTGAATGTATTTGTTATAAAATGCTATAAAATTGCTATAAAAGCACAATGTCTATCTATTGAGAGAGATGGAGATAGATATCATTAAATGACTAACACTTCACAACTCTGAATGTTGTAGAACTATTGTCATTGAATGCTGTGATAGTGTGGTTTATCACACAACTCTTTAAGTCATATCTCCTAAAATACAACAACTACAGACAGGAAGAAAAATAGTAGTAAAATATAGTTATTCAATGCCAAAAATGTCAGTTCTGATTTTGACATTTTTAAAAGTATTTTCTAATAATACATAATATTTTTCCAGATCCAGTGTAAAGCTATTAATTGTGCCAAGCATATTTTGTGGAATATTTCTTTTTATTTTCAAATCAAATGTTTTGTTATTGGTGATGTAACATTAAATTTTATTTATTAAAAATATAGGCAGTTTATGTAATTTGAATATGGGTATAATTTTTAATGCAGTACCTTTACTCTTGTTTTTATTTTGAGTGTATTCATATCTTGTTAAGACAGACTTGAACTTTGAATCCTCCACCCCTCCAAAGTTAAATCTGTTGTCTTTGGGATAAAAAGCAAAGGACCAAATAAAATTACCTTTTTCATAGCTGCAAAGTTTTGAGATTATTAGCTTGAGGATAAGCAACAGGAAAATGATTTGTGAAGTCAGTAAATAGTATTTTCGTCTTTTTCAGTTACATCTTCCTATGTTTTGGACTTCACTTAATGCAGTTTTACCACCTTTTTTATTATTTACCACCTTTTGGCTACATAGGGTAGAATTTAGTACTGACAGCAAAAGAATTTCTTATGCTTTCAGAAAGACAAGGATGCTTTTATTTATGATTCCCTAAAAGCAAAGCTTTACAATTTATGATTCCTACTGATTTGCAATTTGAGGAAGAGGTATAATTTAGTGGAAAGATTGCAAGTCTTTGATTCAAACAAGCCTAGGTCTGAAATTGTTCTCTGCCAGTTACTTTCTTCATCTACAAATTATAGATAAGAAGACTACTCCTTCAGAGTAAGTCTGTGGATTAAGTGACAGACAGTATATGTAAAACATCTCACATATTGGCTTGTAAAAAGCATAGAAACATTCAGTAATGCTTAGTTTCCTATGGTTTTGCTCTGACATCCTCCCACCCTGCCCCAGGTCAGGGGAATGTGCTAGTCTGAGACCAAAGCACAGAACTTTATTTCAAAATAAGGAAGAGATAACACAGTTTAGCTTGTTCATTTTAAGCTGTAAATGGATGCCTTTAATGGACCAAGTAAGAGAGCATTAACTTGCTCCCAATAATGTAATCACAACTGAGGACCATTCCTACTAACAGCAGATGAACAAGATCATTTTTTTACATTACATATAATTGATGCCAGGGTTCTTGTTTATTTACGGAGTCAAAGACCGAACTTCGCAAATGCTCAAGGTAGGCAAGCAAGAGGCTTTTTATTGATATAAGTAAAGATGCAGAATTCCCAGGCATATCCTGGGGGGAAAGGGAGAGCAAGGCTGTCTGGGCTCAGGTCTAGGGCTTGGAGTTATACTCCTGTTGCATCGACTAGGGAGAGAAGCTATTTGTTTGCTATAGGTTCGGGTTAGAATGCCAGCTGTAAGCCAATCACTCTAAAGGTCATTTCTGTTTTTGACTAGTATACCATGGTCAAGCTACTGTGAGCTACCCTGACTTACAGTCAGTAAAAATGGTTCTTTATCATGGAGCTTTAGTGAGAAGCTTCTTTATACATTGTTGCATTATTTCAGCTGCAAGTCTCCAGTCTTTCACATTCTCAAGGTCCTTAGTAAGCATCCTGTTTGTCCTTCCCAGGGCCCTTACCTTGCTCTAACTGGACAGGGGCTGCCCCCTGTTCTTACCCTGTCTCATAATCACCAACTGAAAATCTACAGAATAAGTTTTCTTCTAACATAAAGCAATTTGATCTTTTGGAGTTACTTTGTATCTTAGTTTCCAAGGTATCTTATCCTGCTGCCTAAGAGTAAAAAGGTATAGGCTACCAAGATTTTACCTTTGGGCATCTGAAAATTAAAAAAAAGAAATTTTAGCTCTACCTTTCAATGATAAATACATATTTTCTCACTGGTTTGATATGTAAATGAACTTGAAACTGTATTTGAAAGTATTACAAGAGCAGAAACGGCCTTCCTCCTTTACATATTTTATCTGCTTAAAAAGAAAACGTGCAGGCTTTGAGATCAGGGTTTTGGTTTTGTCCCTAGGACAGCTGGCAATGATTAGCTTTTTATATTCTTCCTGTACACATCAGCACCACCTTATAGCTACCGCTGGTTGGTTTACTATGCCCAGATCTTTTTCATATATTATATATGTTCACTAGAACCACAGTTTTTTTTTACAATGAGGAACCCGAGATTCAGAGTGTTAGACTGACTTGACCAAAGCTTGAACTGTAATAGGAACCCAACTGTGATTCCAAAATCCTTCCTCTTTTTAATGTACTTTGCTATCTCTTGTAATAGAAAGAGAAGAAGACTTAATATTTATTAAAGACATTTATATATAAATACCTTCACTCAATTAACATTCACAGACTTCTGAAGTAGATATTGTCCACATTTTATAGATGGTGAAACAGAAGCACAGAGATGAATAATTTGGCCAGTTTTATAGAGGCAGTAAATGGTAGAGCCTCCCTTTAAAGCCAGGCCTACATGCTGCCATATTTTCTCTTTGCTGCCGTCTGTTTTGCCTCAACATTTGTTTGAATTTAAAACTGCATACTCATATCTGTCCAAACTTTCTCCTGTTATTATATATATGTCTTTAAGCAAAGGTATTTTCAAACTAGAGAAATTAAGAGTAATATGAAACCAATGTGATCCTGATTAAACTCAGTATTTTATGTTGAAAATGTTATAGCAAATATCTTACTTGTATTAGTAATGTATTTCCAATAATTCTTGAGAACTGTACCCTTGTTTGCCTTTTGTGCCTTGGTGGAAGACTGCAAATGTCGATAGGAGTTCTGAGTAAGGAAGAAGAGAACTGAGGAAAGCATTTTCTTCAGTTGGGGATTTGGGGGTTTATCTCTCTTTCTCTATCCCTTTCTTCCCAACACAGTTTTTATTTTCCACTGGCTTAAGAATTTATACTTTGTTGGGAACTAGATCCCTGAATTTTTGGTTAATGGTATGAACCTCCTTCCCAGAAAAATGTTGGGTATACATGCAATTTTGCATGTGATTTCAGGGATATGAAAATCCCAGAAGAATCTTTGCATTAATATTGCATAGCTTATCTTAAGAAAAATGTACTTCTTTAGAATTGAGTCTATACTTTTTCCTGCTAAATGGTGTCTCAAGTAGTAATATAGATGAAGCCAGTCTGTAACAATGAATTACCTCATAGACCTTGAGTGCAGACAGATGCCAGCTTCAGATGCCAGCCTCACATTCAGCACTTCTTCAGTAGCATTTCATAATGTTAAAAAACAACAAATTTCTTTCCTGTTGTCATTCTCCTCCTTGCTGTCATCACTTTCAAACACTGTTGTTAAATGTTGTGGACTGTCTTTACGAGACACAGACATGCAAACACACATACCACACACACAGACTAATTATTATATTATTTATCAGTAGTTCTTATAAATAAGGCAGAGTTTCTGTTTAATAATAATCATTAGCATTATTACTTAATTATTTCTTAATGTAACTCAATTCTTATTTCTTTAATGAAATCAAATTATCTAGTAATTGCCGTTTTCTCCTTGCCCTCTCTCTTACATCTGAAAAACTACTAATGACAGTTTATCTTTAAGAGTAGACTTCCCTTCTCCAAAAAGTGTACTGACAAGACACAGTTCAGCCACCAGTTTGGGTAGGAGGTGCACTTGGGCCACACAGCTTCCCAGTGCACAGATGGTGACTTTTCAGTACCATCTGTTCACTATTTCTTCACAGCCACTTACAATTTCTTCCCCTCCATGAGGGCTGCATAGAAAAAATAAAGTAAGACCTAGTTTTAGAGTTCCTGGAAGTTAGCTGCTCTTTCCCCTCACTTTTTTCTACAATCCATTAAAGGTTATGACTCTTATTCTTTCTAAATATTCCAGTCATTAGTTTACATAGACCCTTGCTTCGTATTTTTTGGTGCTAAGTGCTCTGCAGTTCATAAGTAACAGAAGAACGTTATGTTAGTCTACTGTGTGTACTTGAATAAAAAGGATATAAAGCAGCCTGTTCTTTGACTTCCTTTAACTTTGTATAAGAAACCTAAATAGTCTTCATTCCTTATAAGTAAAAGCTGAATCTTTGGCTGCCTTCTCTTGTAGAAGGCACCTGGTATTCTTTCCTTCTGATATTAAACAGATGGGAAGATAATAGTTGAAACTTAGCCTTGAAGCATGCATAGTGAGGAATGCAAAAGCTGGCACCAATACTAGTTTCTGACCTTGACAAATCCTTTCTAAATTTTTCTTTCTGAGCTTTTTGTTTTCTTTATCTACAGTTAAGATCTTTACATACTGGAGATTCACTTTAGACTGTGTAACTGTCACGTTGTGATGCATAGCGTTGCACTATTTCTACATCATAGGAGAGTTTTGACTTTGACTAAATACAAGACTCAAGAAGAGAATTCATGAATGGTATAATTATTGTTGCCCTATGGATTTATTTTTAAAAGAGTAAGACCTATTAACATGTTTGAGGTAAAAAGTTTGCTTAAATACTGTTTCAGAATTACTTGCTCATTTTCTTATTTTTCCCTGGTCTTTGTTAAATTTGTGAAACTGTGATACTTCCCATTTTCCTCTAGGCAGATGTTTTCCTTCTATTAGTCCTCATATGTTATTAATACTATTTGTGTGATAATCCTTTGTATGATTATTGGTGTGAATGATTTGCATTCCTGAGCTACAGGTAATTCTCTTCTAAGCTTCACAGTAACTTTGCCTCTTAAATTATTTTGTTTAATATTCATATTTCAAATATTGTCTATCTATTGACCAGTTTTCCAATCCATACTATCCTTTTTATTTATATTTCCAAAACAAGAGCTAGAGTTTCTATTGGTTATAATAGTATAACCAACTATTATATGTTGGTTATAGTACTTCCTGTAACTCTGCCATGTAACAGTCAGTGAAACTTTGAACATATAGATAATGAAAATTATGTACAAGCTGAGGCAGATGCCAGAGGTATTAAACATACTCCCATGATCCTCACTGACTCATATTGTTACTGCTAAATTGGGTTTGTTTCCTAACATCTAAGAAGTCAAATTGCTTCTTTGCTCATTTTACAAGTTGTGCGTGCTTTTAGAATGGTCTAAAGGTCTGGTTTGGGTTGTGTGTTGGAGCCACTGCTATTTACCATAATATTTATTGCTTGGCTATACTGTTTATGTTAGGGTAATTCCATTCTTTAAATTAGAATGGCTATAGAGTAAAAAGGGCCATTGCCTATTGCTCAGAATACATGCTAGCTGATTTGATATTATTTGTTTAGTTTTAGGATATAATTGATTGTTAAAGTTTAATGATTTAAGTATAATAGTCATACCATTCTCATTCTTTTCTTTTAAAATTGCTTTTAATAGCATACCACCTCTCTTTGCCTCTTCTGTCTAGGCTTACAAGTGTAGCACTCATGGATAGTTTTTCTCTTTAAGGAAAAATCATATACTTGGGGAGAAGTTTCAAGGTACAATTTGTAATGATTTAACATCCTACATGTGTTGTTTTTTTGTTTGCTTCTTTTTGCTTTGGAGGTTTGTGTTTGTTTTTGCTTTAAGTGTCGCATAATGTTCTGTGTGTTTTACAATTTCATCTGAGAAATTCTGTTCATTAGGGCCACCAGTAGCCCATTTTTTTTTAGTACATTTGTGTCGGTTAGGAAAAGCACCTTTCCTCTGAGGACAAGACCTCACAACAAGGTGCAGTGCAACTGGACTTTGGCCTCCACTCACCAGTGGCCAGGTGTTCTTGTGTAGCAAACAAATTGCAGCCCCTGCGTGATACAAATTCAGATTCTGAATTTTGTACTGATTTAGATTTGTTCTGAAAAATCCATTTTAACAAAAGTAGTTCAGTTTTTAAAAATTTTATGTGTATATAAAGTTTTAAAACTAAAAATATAGCAGAGGAGGTAAAATGGTATTTCCTTTGCAGAAGGATATGAAAACCTAATGGAAAAAGTTAGTTTTTATTCCAAATATAGTATTATTTTACAACTAGTAGTTTTTCTTCCGTATTTCTCATATAGTGCCTTACATTAAGCTTTGTTGCATTAATAATAACCAGCTATGTATATTTTCATTTTTAATTGAGAAATATTAGCTAATTTCCCATAACTCTTAGAGCATTTTGATTCCATAATTAATATATCAGCATATCATGCAATTCATTGTTCAATGCTTTGTATTAACAATTCTTTAAATTTTGTAATTAAACCTTTGGTTTTTCGTACTTCCTCAGGTACTTTGGTCTGGGAAGCCCTATGGTTCATCTCGAAGTATCGTAAGGAAAATTGGTACTAAGTTATCTTTGATCCAGTGTCCAAGAGCTCGATTTCAGGTACTAAATTTTATAAATTTCAAAATGTTATATTAATATGTGCATTAGAAATATAAATAGGAGAGCTTTAAAAGTATTTTGTAAACCTTTCTCCCCTATTGATGCCACTCACTATATATAAAATAAAAGAGGATAAAACCACAGTAAAGTCTTTCTAATTTTAGTTCCTCTGAAGTTATTATTCAAACTCTTTAAGACATTGATCCTCTTAAGATACATATTCAAAGATTTAGATGCATGTAACAAGCCAAGCAGTTGTTAATTCCCAGGTTACTTTGAACATAAGCCTTATATTACTTAAGGAGGCATCAGGTACCACAATTATTTTCTTTAGTTATTACACTTTCCTCTTTGGACAGTCACTCTGTTACCTATATTTTTAGATGTCTCTGTGGGTGCCATGTAAGTTGCTTTCTCCAACCTTGGTTTAAAGTTTAGTACTAATTACAGGAACCCTTTCTTTGGCAATGACTATGTCAAGACTAAGAGGTAATTGTGGTTCTCTGAATGAAGTGATAGTTAAACCCTGAATTAATTTTGAATGCTCAGGTCTTTGTATTCTCTTCTAGCACCAAATCAGGAGCAACTCTACTCTTCACTTGGAGATAAATTGTTATTTTCTCATTTTGGGCTTTTGTTCCTTATAGCTGTTTAGTGTTAGACATGTATCAGGTAGCCTTGTTCTTGTTTTCCAGTAATTCTCTACAGTAATATGACAAAACCTTTCAATTTATCACTTAAGATTATAAAATTTAGCAGGTATCTATACCAGTTTTAAAGAATACATAAGCATGTGAAATGTGAAGATGTATTTAACACATAATTCAAAATCTCAAAAGTACTCCTTGTGAGCTTATTTGTTATAATGTCTTACTCATAAAGCATTCCTTCTGATAGGTAGAGGTAAAAATCTGTTCCTGGTTACTGGTAGAAATTAGCATTTGTAATAAGGGTCATTGACTAATTAGGTGTGCTTATAATCCTGCTTGCGGATTGACTGGCAAAGCCTTTGTGCATCAATCGAGAATCACCAGATTGGAACTTTCCAAGAAGTAATTTTTATCAAACTGTAGGCTTAAAAAAATAATCAAAATGGAGAAATCTTTGATAGTAATTCTCTGAAGCACAATTTCTGAGAATTCAGGTTGTGTAAACACAAACAGCTGACTGCTTTATTTGTCAACATCCTTCAGAAAGCTATTGGGTTAACTAAGGCTTAATAACTTCTTTCCTGATCGCTCAGTTCCATTAAAATTTTCTTTTTATCAATTTATCTACCTATCTATCCTAGTTGAAGGAGAACTTGCTTCAGTATTTGTGTTCATGCTAGAAACATGTAAAAGGACATGGAGATAATCTAGCATTTCTGGTAGCAAACCAAATTTACCTTGATAGTCAGTCAGTGAGACAAAGTACTAGAGCCAAATACATTTCTTGGAAGGATTCTGTTTCTCAGTGTTATTAGACACTTTAAAGAGTATGAGCAGAGTAAGAATGTTAGATTTACTACAGGAACTATATTTGAAGAGAGAAGGATTAACATGAGGAGAGAAATAAGTTAAGAGAAATATTGGTGACTTACTTAATAATGTAGTAGAAGACAGAAGACATTTTGTTTATACTGAGACTTTTTACTTCCAGACAGTTGTACAGCACACTGAGGCTTTCCAAATAATACTAGAGTATTTTACATGCTACTATTACTTAGATTTTTATTTTATTTTATTTTTTATTAAGGGATCACTGATGTACACTCTTACAAACCACATGAAAAACACTGTCGTTACTACATTCAAGTCCCCCCATACCCCATTGAAGTCACTGTCCATCAGCATAGTAAGATACCACAGAGTCACTACTTGTCTTCTCAATGCTACACTGTCTTCCCAGTGACCCCCCACATGCAACACATGTATCAATCATAATACCCCTCAATCCCCTTCTCTCTCCCTCCCCTTTGGTAACTGCTAGTCCCTTCTTGGAGTCTGTGAGTCTGCTACTGTTTTGTTCCTTCAGTTTTGCTTCGTCATACTCAACAAATGAGGAAAACCATTTGGTGTGGAGGCCAGCTCCACAATCCAGCTGAACTTGAACGTGAGAGGGGTGAATGAGAGATTAAGAAAACACAGAAATAAATATAAAAAAGACATATAAATGAAAGTTGGGATCAGGACTGGCCACTGGTGGCCCAATAGTGGCACAATTTTATTTTTGAGCACAGTTTATATACAGGCTCATAATGATATCATTTTTGGGCTGATCTCATATCTGGTGATCTCAGTTCTGGTGACATTTCTTTTGGATCTGGTTATTTCACTTAGAGCCCTCCACAATTTGGTACTTGTCGTTCTCTGCCTAGCTTATTTCACTGAGTGTAATACCCTCCAGCTCCTTCCATGCTGTTGCAAATGATAGGATTTGTTTTCTTCTTATGGCTGAATAATATTCCATTGTATATATGTACCACATCTTCTTTATCCACTCATCTACTGATGGACACTTAGGTTGCTTCCATATCTTGGCTATTGTAAAAAGTGCTGCAATAAAAATAGGGGTGCATATGTCTTTTTGAATCTGAGCTCTTGTTTCCTTTGAGTAAATCCATAGGAGTGGAATTCCCAGGTCAAATGGTATTTCCATTTTTAGTTCTTTGAGAAACCTCCATATTGCTTTCCACAATGGTTGAACTAATTTACATTCCCACCAACAGTGTAGGAGGGCTCCCCTTTCTTCACATCCTAGCCAACATTTTGTTGCTAAGTCTTTTCTATGCTGGCCATCCTAACTGGTGTGAGGTGATATCTCATTGTGGTTTTAATTTGTATTTCCCTGGTAATTAGTGATGTGGAGCATCTTTTCATCTGCATATTGGCCATTTGAATTTCTTCTTTGGAGAATTGTCTGTTCATATCCTCTGCCCATTCTTTAATTGGGTTATTTGCTCTTTCGGTGTTGAGGTGTGTGAATTCTTTATATATATTGGATGTTAACCACTTGTCGGCTATGTCGTTTACAAATATATTCTTCCATACTGTAGTATGTCTTTTTGTTCTGCTGGTGGTGTCCTTTGCTGTACAGAAGGTTTTTGGCTTGATGTAGTCCCATTTGTTCATTTTTGCTTTTGTTTCCCTTGTCCAAGGAGATGTGTTCAGGAAAAAGTTGCTCATGTTTATATTCAAGAGATTTTTGCCTCTGTTTTATTCTAAGAGTTTTATGCTTTCATGACTTACATTCAGGTCTTTGATTCATTTTGAGTTTACTTTTATGTATGGGGTTAGACAATAATCCAGTTTCATTCTCTTACATGTAGCTGTCCAGTTTTGCCAACACCAGTTGTTAAAGAGGCTGTCAATTCCCCTTTGTATATCCACAGCTCCTTTATTGTATATTAATGGACCATAAATGCTTGGGTTTATATTTGGGCTCTATATTCTGATCCATTGATCTGTGGGTCTGTTCTTGTGCCTATAACACAATTGTCTTAATTACTTTGACTTTGTAATAGAGCTTGAAGTCAGGGAGCATAATTCCCCCAGTTTTATTCTTCCTTCACAAAATTGCTTTGACTATTTGGGGTCTTCTGTGGTTCCATATTAATTTTAGAACTATTTGCTCTAGTTCATTGAAGAATGCCATTGGTATTTTGATAGGGATTGCATTGAATCTGTAGATTGCTTTAGGCCAGGTGGCCATTTTGACATTAATTCTTCCTATCCATGAGCACGGGATGTATTTCCATTTATTGGTGTCATCTTTAATTTCTCTCATGAGTGTCTTGTAGTTTACAGGGTATAGATCTTTCAACTCCTTGGTTAGTTTTATTCCTAAGTGTTTTATTCTTTTTGATGCAATTGTGAATAGAATTGTTTTCCTGATTTCTCTTTCTGCTACTTCATCGTTCGTGTATAGGAATGCAACACATTTCTGTGTATAAATTTTGTATCCTGCAACTTTGTTGAATTCAGTTATTAGTGTAGTAGTTTTGGAGTGGACTCTTTAGGGTTTTTATGTATAATATCATGTCATCTGTAAACAGTGACAGTTTAATGTTTTCCGTACCAATCTGGATGCCTTTTATTTCTTTTTGTTGACTGATAGCCATGGCTAGGATCTCGAGTACTATGTTGAATAAAAGTGGAGAGAGTGGGCATCCTTGTCTTCTTCCTGATCTTAAAGGAAAAGCGTTCAGCTTCTTGCTGTTCAGTATAATGTTGGCTGTGGGTTTGTCATATATGGCCTTTATTATGTTGAGGTACTTGTTGAGAGTTTTTATCATGAATGGATGTTGACTTTTGTCAAATGCTTTTTCAGCATCTATGGAGATGATCATGTGGTTTTTATCCTTTTTGTTGATGTGGTGGATGATGTTGATGTATTTTCAAATGGTGTACCATCCTTGCATCCCTGGAATAAATCCTGCTTGATCATGATAGATGATCTTTTTGATGTAGTTTTGAATTTGGTTTGCTGATATTTTCTTGAGTATTTTTGCATCTATGTTCATCAGGGATATTGGTCTGTAATTTTTTTTTTCGTGGTGTCCTTCCTGGTTTTGGTATTAGAGTGATGTTGGCCTTATAGAATGAGTTTGGAAGTACTCCTTCCTCTTCTACTTTTTGGAAAACTTTAAGGAGGATGGGTATTAGGTCTTCACTAAATGTTTGATAAAATTCAGCGGTGAAGCAATCTGGTCCAGGAGTTTTGTTCTTAGGTAGTTTTCTGATTACCAATTCAATTTTGTTGCTCGTAATTGGTCTTTTTAGATTTTCTTTTTCTTCCTTGACCGGTCTAACAATGTTGTATTTTTCTAGAAAGTTGTACATTTCTTCTAGGTTATTCAGTTAGTATATAATTTTTCATAGTATTCTCTCATAATTTTTGTATTTCTGCGGTGTCTGCAGTGATTTTTCTTTTCTCGTTTCTGATTCTGTTTGTGTTTGTAGACTCTCTTTTTTTTTCTTGATAAGTCTGGCTAGAGGTTTATCTGTTTTGTTTATTTT